TCGGGTTTCCCGCCAGGGGCGGGGTCAGTGGGTGGCGCGGTGGTGTCATTCAGCTCGAGGTCCGATCTGAGGACGTTGTCGAGCACCTTCACCATGATCCCCTCGCATTTGATGTCGGTGGCGCTTTTGAAGAACTCGAGGACGGCCTCGGAGTCCGCGGATGTGGCGTCGAGACTCTTGACCCAAGTGAACCGTTTGGGCACTTCGACAAATAGACTCCGCAGAAGCTCTCTACGCTCGCGGAATGAGCGATCCAACAGTGGTTGTCCATTCAGGTACATCAAGTCGAAAGCGAACAAGCACACGTTCACTTTGATGGAGCCTATATCGACGTTCTTTTTCGCGCGGTTGGTGAGGATTTGGAAGGCTTGCAGATCCCCCGTGTCCTGATCGACTGCAACCACCTCGCCCTCCAAGATGAAGCTGGACACTCCTTCGCCCCGGATCTGGGGCACGAGAGACACGAGATCCGGGTACTTCTCGGTCATATTCTCCAGATGGCGAGAGAAGACGGACACCTTACCCGCCTCGTCGCAATGAACCTGGGCGCGTTGTCCGTCGTATTTGTACTCGCAGGCAAAGTCTCGCCCTTGTAGCTTGGTTAACATGTCTGATAGATCACGCGTGATGCTGCCTAGCATCGGCCTGAGGGGAATGTGTAGTTGTAGCCCGCAGCGCACAAGGAGTTCCTCTGTCACGCCGCTCTCGAGTAGGCATGGTACAAGATCGTCATAGTTCGGGTGTCTAGCATAGGAAGCCTTGACAACTTCCTCTGCATTGCTGTAGACCTCTGCGAGTTCTTCCTTCCTCAAACGCGCCATGTCTTGTTGAGATTGGACAGCAAACTCAGCTCCCTCTGGTTTGGAGTATAGAAAGGCTCGGGCCAGCGCAATAAGCATTGTCGTCTTGACAGCTCCAATGCGCAGATTCTGGACGAGTGTCCTAACAATGTATCGACTCTCCTCTGCACCACGAGCGTCCTGCAGTAGCTTTTCAACTATCCTCTGCTTGGCCTCCTGGCTTCCACTTCCTTTACTCAGAGCAATCTTCTTAAGAGCTTGGTACACGCCCTTGATCCTCAGTGGCTTGGGCTTCATCAAGGTGAAGCTCTGCCTCTTCTTGGCCTCGAAGGCCACATCGCCTGCATCGCCGTGCTTGTCGTAAAGGGTCTTGAGACCCTGACTATTAAGGCCATAAACCTTCTTCAAAGCCTTAGATATCGAGGATCCGCCTAAGCCTAGCTCTATCTCATCGTACGGTGGTGAGATGGAATTCGTCGCAAGCCAGACTGCGGGAAGAACACTCGAAGGGTCGCCTTCAATCAAGACCCGAAGAAAGTTGACTAGAGTATCCACAATCTTGATACGACTGGTTGTTGCGTTCGCAAGGACGAAAGCTCTTATTAAGAGCGCGTATGTAGCGTCGCCTCCCTGCGCAGCCCAGTGGCCCTTCAGCTTCTGCGCATATTTGGCCGCGTCAAATGTGATGGGGCTCTGGTCGAACGGCACAGCCAGAGAAATCGTATCTTCCGTTCCCGTCGATGACTGAAGAGATAGGATGCCTTTATTTTGTCCAGTGGTTGGTTTCAGGTCGGTAGCCTCCGAGTCTAGAGGCGCCGGCGCCGGCACCGGTGTAGGCTCGCTAGTGGGAGTATCGACCTGCGATGTTGGAGCGGCAATCTCTTGGTCCCACTCAGCCTGAAGCTTGCGAGCAAGAGCCTCGTCAGATAGAGTCTGTTCATCTGGGGTTTCAGTTTCAGCTGGAGTCTGCAATGCTTGCTGAGTCTTCTCCGCCCGCTTGCTGGCTTGCCCTTGGAAGAATGACGCTATGCTCCGGTTGCGCTGAGCGGAGGATTCGAGGTCATCCCTCTTCCGCTTCTTCGCCGGACTGGCCATCACGTTAGACTGAGGACAAAGGTCTTGTCAAGCAGAAGCCATTGAGTTTGAGGTGCTGCGACGTGCTTCATAGTGTCTTGAGCTACGGGAGGGAAACGATGACGTTGGTTGGACGGAACGGGCAGCGGGAAGTCCAGAGCTTCCAGCCGCTATTCTCCGTTGGAGACACCGTAGCGGCCGTCCACTTTGCGACTCCACGCTGTACTTTTTCCCCCGCCAACTTCTCCAAAACAATATCTCACTTCGCGAAGAATGGCCACTTCTGCATCTGCCTTGTCATCGCATGAGAGGACAAGAGTGGAGGATTATTTGAACGATAAACTTCAGGTTTCTGCTGATTTAGAGAGCCTCGACTCCTTGTTGTCGAGTCTACGAGCCCAGCATGAGCTGCAACGCAAGCAGGTACATTGCTTAGCCCCTTTGCTTCAACGGCCATACTTTACCTCACCTTGCCTTTCACTATGCTAACGAAGGGCTCGAAATAGTTAGCTGAAGCACAAGAAGCTCTCTCCAATGCCACCAAGGCCTCCAACGACCACGCCGAAGCTACTCGCCAGCGAGCCGAAGCATTCAACGTGCAGCAAGAGGATATTGACAGGCGCCTGAAAGCAATCACTGGGTCCGACTCCAGCGATGATGCGGCCAAGCGGTTCGAGGCTAGCATCGAAAAGCTGCGGAGGCTTGAGATTTCTAGGGGCTACATGACTGTATTGAAGGAAGCGGAGGAGTTAAGGTGGGGAAATAGCTTCAAGTTGCCTTCTGTGCTTCAACTGCTAAAACTGCATACAGCCAGCAAGCCTTGAAAGATACCGGAAGTGATCCCAGGTTGGCGATTCAATCATATACTCGGCTTCGCAACATCTCTCGATCATTGCACGAGGCCCAGCCGGCAGCAGAAGGGGCTGCCCCTCACTTGGTCGATTATGTGGGGAAGTTGGTTTCGGCGCTCAGAGAGCAAATGAAGAGCCATTTCTCGCAGCGGCTGCAAGGAACGATGGACCGCATAAAGTGGCCTTCGAAAGACTTGCAGTTCCCGGATGATGTTCAACTGGAGTGGAGGGAGAACTTCGGATTGCTCCTCGACTTGCAGATACCGTACGCCTTTATTGAATTCTTGTTGCGGAAAGCGGTTCATGCTCTAACACAAATGGTATAGTGAGCTTACTGGCCGCGCTTCTGTGCCCGAGCATCAATGCGCTGAGCCTCCGGTGCTGTTGCCGCTCGAGGTGATGGTGCATCCGCTGGAACTTCGGTTTAAATACCACTTCAGCGGGGATAAGCCGACGAACAGGCTTGACAAGGTACCGTACTATCCCGTACAACTACCGTATTGAAAACCATGAGTCTAAGAGTCTCAGCCGGAATACTTTTTAGCTCATATCACGGATCTGATGAACAACTTCGGGAGTTTCTTCGCCTCGTTCTTGCAGCCTATATTCGATGAAAAGGCGAAACAGGTCGGAACCGACCTCGAGTGGAACTTCTATAATGCCTCTCATGCCTTTATCACGGCACTCTTGCCTGTGTTGCGGAAAAAGATAGCCACCTTCATGCCTCAAATATCGACACACCCACAACTCCTGAGCCATTTTGTGCACGAATTGATGACTTTTGACAGCGAGGTCCGCGAATCCTGGAACTACTTACCGGATCCCTATGTCGCTGGCGACTGGAAAGGTGTGACGTGGGAGGTCCTGACCAAGCAGGGTTGGTTTGATCGCTGGCTACAGGTTGAGAAGGACTTCGCGCTAGCTCGCTACAAAGAAATCGTGGACGCACCAGACAGTGGTAATATCGACTACGATGGTGTTGAGCTCTCGTCGACGAAACCGACCAAGGCCGCGATCCGTGTCAACGACCTCCTCGAAACAATTACCGAGCGTTACCAGCATTTATCGTCGTTCAGTCAAAAGCTTCGCTTCCTTATCGACATCCAGATCACCATCTTCGACCAATTTCACGAACGCCTACAGTCTGCCTTGGAGGCCTACCTCGCCATGACCTCAGCTATCGGTCGGACCGTGCAGGGCTCGGACGGACAGGCCAGCGTCGAAGGTGTGGCTGGACTTGAGCGACTTTGCAGAGTCTTTGGAAGCGCGGAGTGGCTCGAGAAGAAGATGGAAGATTGGAGCAACGAAGTATTCTTTGTGGAGCTCTGGGCTGAGCTCCAAGAGCGCGTCAGGCTAAATAAGGACGGGGGCAAGAACGTGGCGGGCTCCATGTCTATCGCAGACGTTGCATCGCGCACTTCCCAGGCTGTGAACAACAGCAACCACCACAACGACGACGATCAAGGCACAGCCTCCGAAGGCGCCTTATTCGACGAGACTGCTTCCGCATACCGGCGCCTACGACTCCGCTCCGAGTCGATCATCACATCCACGCTAACATCAAATGTGCGCTCCGCTCTGAAGCCTTATTCCCGCGTTTCTACCTGGACAACCCTGGCAGCCACAACGCCGGCTCCCAATGGCGCTCCTCTGCCGCCCACCTCCGACCTAGCCCCTGTCCTGCGTACCATTTCCGCAGAGCTATCCTTCCTCTCCCGAGCCCTGGGATTCGCCCCCTTGCGCCGGATCACCCGGCAGGTTCTTCTCGCGATTCAGACGTTCATGTGGAGCAGCATCCTGATGAGGAACACGTTCTCAGCGTCCGGGGCCCTGCAATTCATTAGCGACATGGACCACCTCGGCAGTGTGGTTGACGTCACTTTAGGCGCGGCGAGCCAGCCTGGCGGCTCTAAGAAAGTGCTGAAGAAGTTGAGCGAGGCGCTTCTACTGCTCGGGCTGAGCACGACGGAGCCAACAGCTCTGGATGGCGCCACAGACCCGAGGGAGGATGAGCCCACGGAAGCGGGCCCCCCGGCTCGGGCCGGGCTCTGGGAGGTCGAAAAACGGCTTTTCAAGGACAATGAGAGCGCAAGAGATGTTCTAGCCGAGCTTGGAATCGACTCGTTGACGGAAGCGGAGGCTAGAAGTGTCTTGGAGCGGCGAGCCGAGATTGGTAACTAGTGCTTGAGCATAAGAGGGGGCCCTGTTGTGCATATCGCGGGCCGGTGAAGTACTTGAACTCATAAGATATCCATTGAACGTATTTTGAACCTATTGACAAGCGTCTTGCGACGACATTATAATTTCTATGCTCTATTCTATTAGTTTTTGTTTTGTTTGTCTTCCCTTCTAAGCCTCACGCCAACGTACAGCCACTCTGAAAGAGATATACCAACCAGTCTGTAGAATGTTGCACTCAAACTACAGTCGGACTGACCCGCGCAGGGAGAAATGGGACTTATCAACGATGCACGACAAACCCATGGCCCCAGCGACGCCCGGCACGGCTCTAGCGACCCTGGGCCTTCAACTTCTCGACAATGGCGGGGCCAACCTCCTCGATGGCCCTGAGCAGCGCCTCGACCGTCTCCTTGGCGGTCTGCACGTTGACCACGCAGCGGAAGAACTTGCCGTCGCCGACGGCATCCTCATCGCCACTGGGCGGGGCGAAGTCGACCATGAACCCTTTGCGGACGATCGCATGCGTCACCTGCTCCGTAACCTTGCTGTTAGCCTTGGCCCTCTCGACCTCAGCTTCAGCCGTTGTCGTCGCCGCCGGCCCGCGCGGGTAGACCATCTGCCGCTGGGGCGCGTAGTAGAAGCAGACCTGCAGGCACGGGGTGGGGTTCTCGCTGACGAGGATGAAGTTGTGGTTGTGCTGGACCAGGGTGGCGAGGTGGGCGGCGACGGCGCAGGCGGAGTCGATCTGGCGCTCGTAGCCGGCGGAGCCGTAGTAGGTCCAGCCCAGGAAGAGCTTGAGGGAGTCGGCGCGGCGGCCGCACTGCAGGGTCAGGTCGGCCAGGTCCCAGACCTCGGGGGAGTCGATCTCCGGTTCTTCTTCCTCCGAGGAACTTTCCGACGACTCGGCCGCCGTGTCCGGGTTGTGGAAGAGGTAGCCGGCGGGGAGGGTGTTGGCGCGGTGGAAGCGGCGCAGGTCGGCGGCCAGAAGGAAGGAGCAGGTGACGGGGACGCCCAGCATCTTGTGCGGGTTGATGGCGATGCTGTCGGCGAGCTCGGCGCCGGCGAGCTTGTGGCGCTGCGCCGCCGAGAAGATGAAGGAGCCGCCCCAGGAGCCGTCGACGTGCAGCCAGAGCTTGTATCGCTTGCAGAGAGCGGCGATCGCGGCGAACGGGTCGAACGAGCCCAGCACCGTCGTGCCGGCCGTCGCGTTGACGTAGAACGGGGTCCGGCCCTCGGCCAGCGCCTGCTGGATCAGCCGCTCCAGCTCCGCTGGGATCATGCGCCCCTGCTTGTCGACGGGCACCGCCCACACCGCGCTGCTGCCCAGCCCCAGCATCTGCGCCGCCTTCTCGATGCTGTAGTGCCCGTGCGCGCTCGTGAACAGCACGAACCGGTGGCCCCCGTTGCCCTCGCGCTTCGTCTCCGGGTACAGGTTGTTGCGCGCGATCACGATCGAGGTCGTGTTAGACGCCGACCCGCCCTGCACGGAGATGCCGCCGGCGCGCGGGCCCGTGAGCCCGAACAGCGCCGCCAGACGCTGTCCCGTGTACTTCTCGATTACCGTGAGGGCCGGCGAGACCTGGTAGACGTGGACGTTCGTGTTGAGGGCCGCGAGGATGAGCTCCGACGCGACGCCGGGCGCATTGGTCGAGGCGTACAGCTTGTCGAGGAACCCCTGGTGCCAGGTGTTGACCGAGTAGCGGAGCACCTGCCGGAGAACGTCCACCAGACCATTCTGACCCGTGCCTTCCTGCGGCAGGCTCAGCTGGAGCAACCGCTGCAGTTCCTCCGGTCTTTTGTGCTCGACCAGCGATGTGCCATTTTCGTTGTCGTCGTTCGGGGAAAGGGATTTGTTGGAGGCGAGAGGGTCCAAATCCGCGCTGCGGATGAAGGGGATCAGGAGGTCTTCAACTGCGCTCAGGAGCTGAAGTAGATGCGATCAATGGTTAGTTTTGATTGATTGACGAATAGTAAGGTAGGCATGTCGATGATCTACTCCCCGCTGGAATGCGACAATGGGATGATGAGAAGTGGACGAAGAAACTCATGACTCACGCTCTTGACCTCCTCCGCGCGATCTGCTGGCGATGAAGCAGCCATTGATGTGTGAGCGTATCAAGCCCTGAGACTAGATTATATTGCTATATCGGCTTCAAACAAAGCTAAGGGTTGCCCGCAATTTAAAAAACTTGAAGGTCAATCGATCGGAAATTCGTGGAGCCAAGCAGCAGCGCTCGAATGGGGACCGTTTGCGGATCCACAGACAGTCCCGGAATGGCGACAAATCCCGGGTTTTTGACATCATGGATGGATCCGCCGTCCCCGAGACAGACTCTGGGGGTTTCCTGCGGAGTTGTGACAGGCAGGGTAAGTTGGATCGGGCGAGTCTTCTGGATGGAGTGGGATTGGGACTGTTGTTGTTACTTATCTGCTGCAGATGTTGGTTTATTTATTCAATTGGTGTAACCTCGGCTCCGTGACTCCTGTTCTGCACATTGAAACAAAAGAAAAATACCTCAAAAATATCAATAGCTTCACACCTGCTTGCTTTTCCCGACCGAAGCCCACAGAACCAACTACCTAGTAATGTACAATTTAGATGACCGCTTTTTGCCACCCTTGGTTATTTCACATATTGCAACGAAACAGTAAAATTATACCCCAGAATAGATCGCCGAGATGTGTCGTCCGCACTCCACCCGTTGTTCCATGTTCACCGTGCGACGACCGACCTTGCTCTTGTGACGAGGCATTATCTGAAGCCGTGCATCCTGCTTCTCGGCTTCTTTCTTACCCTCAGTAGGCGCGTTGATGTAGATCGGCTTGGACGAGTTGCTACGCTTGCCGGTGCCGAGTTGGAAGTGCTCGTTGCCGCCCCACCAGAGGACATCGTAGCCCCAGGCATTCGTTTCATCGAGAGAATCTGTAGGAGCTGCGTCCATCTGCGTGTTGTTGTCCATCACCGCCGACACATGTGTCGTACCTACGGAGATATCACGCATGCGGATAGGGGCGAGTCCCTTCAGGCGCTCATCGTATTCGAACAGCCCACTCAAGGGCTTCACCTTTGTAAGGGAATCTTGGATATGAGTCCATTTACCGTTACCCAGTGCACCCCAAATTCCCCGTCCACACGTCCAGACATCAACCGTGACACGGCCCAGGTCGCGGACAGTGGAAGGGTTCTCATTCGAACCTAGTACCCGCTGTACATCCACAGCGATGAAGCTATTGGCGCCTCCGGCGGCAATCCGAGTGGCCTTAGGGAGGTATGGGCCCCGATAGAGTCTCCTGATCGGCACCAGGATGGGCGCATCGCAGTACGGGAATGACGGGTCGAATTCCATTCCCAACTGACCGAAAGAGTTATCACCGAAGGCATACACATTGCCGTGGTCGTCGAGGGCCATCGAGTGATAGTCGCCGGCCGCAACCTGGATGATCTTGGATCCCTTCAGGGCGCTGACCTCGTGGCACATGTCCACCGGTCCCTTGGGGCGATTCGCCCACTTCAACCCCGATACACCGAGCTGGCCGAAGGAAGGATAGTTTTCCGATGAAGAGGCAACCGAAAAGACGCGGCCTGAGCTGGTAAGAAGCAGTGCGTGATCGATTCCGCCGGTGACAGCGGTCACCCTTTCACCCATCCTCAGGCTGGGTTGCAGCTTGCGATAGCTCATACTAGCCGATCCAGACCAGAAAGGCACCCAGGAGCCCTCGCTGGGCTTGTGGCCTCCTAGTTGGTCTTCCTTGGCAATGGGGATCGAATAGACAGTGCCATCCGATGACAAAGTGATGAGGCGGTCATTGGACATGCAGAGCGAGGTAAGGTTCTTGCCAGTCAGGGTCGTCGTAGGCTTGAAGTCGGTCTCCGAAAAGCCCTTGCCCCATTGCACCAGATCGCCATTCTCAGTGATGGCCGCGCCGGACGTCTCGCCAAGCTTGAGGTCTCTGAGGACCTGGCCGTCGAAGTACGAAAGCCTCCGCGGAGTCTTCACTACCGAGTCTTTCGATCCCGGGTCGACTACTTTGTAGGCATTGTTGCCCCAGACATAGACACCGGGACTCTTGACACTCCGTTTCTTCTGCGCAAATTGCGAGCCGAAGTCCTGGGTGGCGTTTGTGAGATCCTTCACTTGCTCTACTGGGGTCTCAAGTTCATTGCCCTTGGACGTGGCGTACTCATAGCCCAGGTATCCAGCAGTACCTAAGGTTGCCACACCCAGCGAGTTCCGAAACCAGTGAGAGGAAGATCCCTGGTTGTCGCCACTGCTGGCATAAAATCGCCGCCAAGGAGCTCCAACAGCTCGACTGTTCCTCGCTAGGCGGCGAGAAGCTTGAATGGCGAAGCTGGTCGCCGATTGCCGTCCCCGAGGTGTCCACATGATGTTCAAAACACCTAGAATAGGTTCATACAGTCAAAGTTGCTCAGTTTGACTGGCCTGTGCTTACGGTAAGAGCTCAAAGGCAAAGCTCCAAAAGATTAATTGTGAATGGTCGTTGCGTCAGATACCGTAAGCGGAAGGTGGCGGCAGAATAGCGGCGCATTGAAGCCACGGAGGTTGCGGCGTGTTTACAACCACGATGTGCGAAACGGCTCGCGGGGTGCTGACCGGACTGCCTGCTGTATGAAACAAGGGCCTAGAACCAGGCACCAGGACAGTGAAATATCTCTGAGCAGTCTCATCTCGTAAGAGACAATGCGCCAACAAGCTGCGGGTCAGCGAAGTCGTCGCCAGACTGCCCCGTCTGGACCGCCGGTGGATATCAAGGCTAAGGTGATTGATGAGCACGAGACCATTCCGGATGGTCTGGAATCTTTTACCGATATCAAGAATGAGCTGGAATTTGCGCAATGGTACAACGATATTGAGGGTAGTCTGCTTGAAGCCAGCTACGATGAATATCAGTAAGTCGCGCAACAAGCCGCCGCCGACAAAGCCCCTGATACATGCTGACCTGTCTTTCTTTCAGAGCATGTTTACAGGAGCTCCAGTTATCCAAGACCCACCTAGATTCCTTGTTATCGGATACATCATCGACCCTTAATCTTCTCACGAACCTGTCCAATGACTTCAAAGCCGTGGAGTCGCAGACGTCCAATTTCCAGAAGCAGTGCGAAGGGCTTCTCTCCGCGCAGAAGCACGATCTGGAACTCGCTACGGACATCCAGGATAATCTGCAGTACTATGAATTTCTCGATCCCGCTTCAAGGCGGCTTAACGCCCCGGGTGCTGGAAATACTGTGCGCGGGCAAGAGTTCTCGGATATGCTCAGACGACTCGATGAGTGCTTGGACTACATGGAGGTACATGTGAGTACATATGGCGTCATGGTCTTGCTATATCACCGCATTAATCAGTATTGCTTGTCCAGACCGAGCAAAAAGAGGCCAGCGTGTACCGCTCCAGGTATCGACTCCTGATGACTCGAGCCCTCACTCTCATTCGAACACACTTTGTCACTTCTCTGCGCGATATTTATGCCGATGCCTCCAAGAAGATCGCCGACAAACAGCTCAATGAGACAACGATGTCCACCTTGCTGTATGCGAAGTTCCGGGTCGGCGCACCGGAGCTGAAACAAATTGGCCTCGAGATCCAGAAACGCGCCGTGCCTCCGTTGGACCCCGACCAAGGCACGGAAGCCGAATATCAGAGCCTTCTCAACGAGCTTCACGCCAACTATGCAGCGACTCGCGGGAAATTGATGATTCCGCTGGTCCGCAAAAATCTCAGCGACATCGCGCAGTCGCCTACCTCGTCACAGGACCTGGTTTCTTTCGCTCGTGCGAGCATTAGCTACATCCGCGGGGTCTGCTTGGACGAGTTTGAACTATGGGGGGAGTGGTTCCATGGTCAGGGTGGGCTCTATGACTTCCTCGAAACCATCTGCGAACCTTTGTATGATCACCTCCAGCCCAGGATCATTCATGAGGACAAGATAGTCAAGCTTTGCCAGCTTTGCACGCTGCTGCAAACCCGATACCTATTCGATCAGGATGAGGAGTTGGAGCAACCTCTGGACGCCAACCAACTCGACTTCACCACTTTAATTCAACCTGCTCTGGAAGACGTTCAAACTCGTCTCGTCTTCCGTGCTCAGGCTTTCCTCCGCGACGAGATCGAACGGTACAAGCCCCGTCCCGAAGACCTGGATTATCCAGCACGCAACCGGCAATTCTCAATCTCGGTCACGGAGGGCCAAATCTCCGGCCGCAAGATTGCTTCCGAGCCCATTGTCAATATCCAAAAGCCCACGAAACACATCGAAGATAGCACAGATGCAGACCCGGATGCGAAGTGGGATCTTGAGACTCCAAATGCCTTTAGTGGGTGGTATCCGACCCTCCGTAAAGCCATCTGGCTCCTGAGCCGCATTTACCGGCTTGTTAATGTAAGTCCTCCTTCTTTAGGAATCATCAAGGCCAACCTACTCATAAATGTACAGTCGACTGTCTTCGACGATCTCGCCCATCAAATCGTCCACCAAACCACCCTCTCCCTCCACTACGCTAGCACTCTCATCCCCCCCTCAACTACTACAAACAATCCCAAACCCGCAACTCCTACTCCCCCAACTCGTCTAGAGACCCATCGCCAACTCTTCCTAATGAGTCATCTCCTCATCCTTAAACAACAAATTGTCGCCTTCGACATCGAATATGTCGCCCCGGAAACCTCTTTAGACTTCTCTGGTCTAACGCACACCTTCTGGGAGCTTCGCGAAGAGCGCGGCGGCCTCTTCAACCCACGCAATCTCGTCCGCCTGGTCGGCCATGGCCTCCTGCCCCGCGTGGTCGAGAACATGTTAGATGCAAAAGTCGAATTGGATGGCCGTCTCCGGACCGTGATCAACGACTTCATCAATGGATTTGCCGGCACAATGACCGCATCACTGCCTGCGAAGTTCGTGGCCACCGCCACCGCTCAGAGACAGGCGGCGGAGGAGTGGATCTATCCGACGTGTCGGAACATCGAAACTGAGGTGCTGGGACTGAGGCGCGTGTTGGGGGAGTACCTGGATGATCTGCGGATGCGGGAGACGTTGGTAGGGGCGGTTCAAGATCGGGTAATCCAGATTTACGAGGAGTTTTGGGAGAGGTTTGTCGCCGAGGAGAGACGAAGCGGGTCAATGGCTGCAGGAGCGAGAGGGAAGGGGAAGGGGAAGGGACGTGAGGACGATGTCTGGGATGTGGATACTTTTGCGGAGTGGTGTGAGGGTGTCTTTCGAGTGGGTATCTCGGGGGTAAATGATGACGATGATGCTGTTGGTGATGGAAATACTTCAAGTCGGACAGGGAGCCTCGGCTCACTGCAGAATCAATAGATTGTGGGGCAGGTGAAGTTGTAAATAGTCATACTCTTTCTTGGCACATAGTACGGTCGCCCGCGACCAACCTTAT